AATGCCACTGAATAAATACGTAATAGTGTGAATGTACTTGAGTTCAAGTATTTAGCTTCTTGCAAATTTTGTCAAGTACTTGGTTAAACACTTGTCACAAGCCTTTTTAGATTTACTACGTGCCAAATACTTGGAACAACGTTGGATACTTGAATATACTTTGCAAGTACCTATCAGGTTACCAGGCACATACTTAATGCCGTGGCGAGAGAAAAAGTAGAAGGAATGTAATTTTTTGTGGGAGAAAACCGTAGAAGTATGAGAACACAACACCATCTACCATCATAATTTCAACACAATAACTACATGATAATGATAACGTTTTTCCTCAATGAAGAGAAGTGGGAGAAAAATTTTGCTCTCAAGTATTTTGGGAGACAAAGTGGGAGAAAGTATGTTTTCGTTAAATATTGATTAGATTGGTTATCCAATCTGGGCTACAGCTTAGACGATATTGTTGAGAGAAAGAAGGTTATTAAAGAAATTTTTTTGTAAAGGCAGGAGGAATGTAACCTTATCCACTCCCCCTTTTGCAATGCCCATGGCACTGCAAATATGTGACGAAGTACTTATCTAGTTACTTAATAAGTTACTTAATAAGTACCTTTTTTACTTGCAAAAAACTCCAGGTACTCTGGACATTAGTTACCCAAGTACTTTTCTAAGTCCTTGGTCTCAAGTACATTCACTAGGAGATACTTTACCATGACTCTGATTATCCAGTCCATTGCAGTTATTTTAATACATAAAGCTAAAGCTCATTAGACAATTAGACAATTAGATTGTTCTCTTGAATATTTCAACTAATATAACTCATTATGGAAATTTACATTAAATGTGTTCTCGGATATCGGCATTTGTCCATGAGCATCCGTTAACAATCTGGAGATCGTTACAGATAGTAGAGGACTGATGTGACAACAGAAAGAGTATGTGTGATGAATAAGAAACAGATAGACAGAGACATCCTTCATAAATGATTTGTAAGAGATTTGGTTCCTGTAGGATCCGGAGACCGGATCCGTTAATTTCCGGTCACCGAAAACCGACGGATCCTGTGATGTGCACTTTATTTTTCTTTCTTTCCTGTGCGCTTAATCTGTTCACCGTTTTATATCTGAGACTCGAAGGATCCGGTCGGATCTTTTTCGACATCTTCCGGCACGGATTCCGAACAACGGATTTCTGGTATGGTTGTTGGCAGATTTTACCTAATTCCCATAAATTCCGGCATGTTCTAGTGTTGGATCCGACAGATTCCGTCAAGATCAACGACCTTGGTAGGAGTTCGAATCTTTTACATTTAACGCAGAATGAATATAATCTGATACCTAATTTATTAATCATTTTTTTGTCAAGCATGCATCAAGGTATCGATTGAATTTATTTACCCGTCATATATGATTATGACGTACTATTTAGTGAAGAAACTGCTGTGAAGGACTTCGACTCGGACTTGGACTTGTCAAAATAAATTTCTGTTGAACCTGGAAATGGTCGAAGTTGTCCACATCTCGCGAAAACATGTTATCCAATGGACAAACGCATGCGACATAGATAGATTTTTAGTTACAAACGAATTGTCCGCTATGAGTGGAAGAGCAGATAATAGGATCAATGTGGATGTGACTGTACGTTTTATAGTGAGCTTCGATAAATGTCAGAGCACGATGAAATTTCTAGTTCTGATTGATTTTTATTCATAAACGTACTGTTGAAGTCTCTGCAAAGTCCTTGTGATAAACAGGACACCATACGCAGATGGACAAGTATTTTTTTAGCCACTGGATATCTTAAATATCATTAACATTGTATAATGTTTTTCTACTGATATCTTCACGTGTAACTATTGTGAAATTACAGAGGAATAGAAAAAAACAACGTGATCGAATTTTATTATTGAGAAGTCAATTTTCCGTTTGTGTCATCAATCCTCAAAAACCTTGATGAAAAACGAAATAAGATCTGGTTGCGTATTGTCTCTTTAGAAAATTCGTTTAGTCTACTAAAATATTTTGAACTGTGTTTTACCTTGCTTTACCTTTTCAAGATTCTTTCTCATCATAGTAGCTATAATTATATCTTTTATGATACGAAGAGTTTATGCACCCGTCGTTTATGACGTAGTATTTATTAGTTTAGTTTTATTGACAAATACTTTTAATATGAAATACATTCTAAAAAAAGAACATATATTACAAAACCAAAATTTGCATTTACAACTATACCAAAAGCATTTCCGTTTTGCGTTCAGAGCGCAAAAATCCCTATAATTTTTTCAAATACTGCTTTAACAGTAAATGCAAAAACGGATAAGGGTTTGTTATAAGTACGTATATGGTGGGCGTTGTACTTAATTTCAAAAATTTTCTATAATATTTTAAAATGCGCCTAATCGTAGTTAGACGAATTTTTGCGCGCCGCAATACCGAGATGGGTTTTGTATGGTCGCAAATACAGAAACCCTCTGAAATATGATTTTTGGGATTTTGAACCACGCTTCATAGTTGGTTTATATCTTTATTGATTCCTAATAAAATGGCCAGCGGTCAAATGACAATTGTAGGCCTAGCAGTACAAATGAAAACAGTTAGTGAATATAATGATAAAATGACATAAATATAGAACAACAAATAAAATGATAGAGGTAGATATGCCCGGCGATGGAGGGAGTATGGACGTCATAAGAAAAAAAGAGTAATACTGTGTTACTAGTTATTTAATATATTCGTTTGTTGAACACATGTAATGATCGCACCTAGTAAACATATTCGTGTGGCATTATCTATATCTAAGCTGTTCAGTAGTAAAGTGTCAACTGTAAATGTATTCAAAAAAGAAATTTGCTGCATAAGGTGTTGTCTTTCAACATTATACCATCTGCCGTGAAGAAAATAGTGGTCAATGTCCTTCCTATCATATTCACAATTACATTTAGGCGAATCAACACATTTGCACCGATAGAGATAGTAGGCTAGTAGAAATGGTTTTCGCTTCATGGTTTTGTGTAATTCATTCAAGAAAAAGCTTCAACTGTTTTTGCTAAATAGAAAATCGTATTTATCTCACCTGGGAAGCATTTTTCTGAGGAGGCGTCTATGAAATAAAATATAGAGAATAAAATTCATCTTTTAACTGTCATACTCCAGATAATAGTACCGAGTTGTTTTAGCAGCAGTAACACTGATAAAAATTGTGAAAAAAACCCATTAAAAATAATTTATCTCGAAAACGAAACGTTTTTGGGTAAATCGAGAGGAAGAATTTTCATTCTCTATTCTTTATCATAAAATGGTCCATTAACGACATCGTTTCCATGGACTTGGGATTAAATGTTCTTAACAATAGTGTACACATCCACCGCTGTCTGTGCATCTGTCTAGTCGGCCCGGCTTATATCTAACAATAGCAATAACTCCGTTCGGAATTATTGAGTCAAGTCATGTTTCTGTTACGATCATGAAAGAAGGTTTTTGATTCATTACACAATACAGATAGAAGATCACTTTGCTTTAGTATTTTCTGGATCTTTATCGGCTCATGTCGTTAACCTCTGATATTCCGTACGGGTATTTCCATTGGATCTGTCTCACTAACATGAGCTAGTTTTTCCACTCAAGCTGACCATGGTCATATATACTGAAGTGCTGTAAAAACCCCTGTAAACTCATTGAAACGTGTTTGCAGACAACAAAGAGACGAAAAAAAAGAACAAGAGAACAGTCATATGTTTTCTACTGAATAGAAGGAATAGAGAATGAGTAAATAAGCAGATATATTTTTCCACATAAAATATCAAATGTGCGCAGATTTTTTCGTCTCAACACATCGATCACAAAGAAAGAGAACAGAAAAATATGTATATACGAAAAGAAATATCCATTCAACAGAATTTTCTTGTACAAAAAGAATAAAATATTTTCTATAGACGACTACAGTTTTCTATTTGAGCACATGGCAAGAGAAGATCAGGTTTTATAAAGAAGGTAAGAAGGAGAGAGAAATGCTAACAGTGCATAAGTATGAAGATATATGTGAAGAGAAGAAGAAAACAACTGGAATGTCGGGTTTTTCGAGACCTTTTTGTAGTTGTAGAGAACATTGAAGGCCACGGAAACAGTAAGTGAAACACATCATCATACTACCCTCGAATACTATGTACGAATCAATTTATCAGTATCGTAGAAAGATTGACTTAAGTGTTTTTCATGATTTGAATCATATAGAAAACATTGCCGTATCTTGCTTAAATATCTCGATTATTTAAATTCTGTCGTGCATATTGAAAGAGACTGATTATATACCAATGAGATGCATAGAATTTCTGTCGATTTTTAATAAGTACTTAGACATAACGTAAAAAATCTACTACAATCAGTTGAGGAATATTTTTATTACCAGATGGTAATCGATGCGATGCATAAATTAATGAAAGATCAACCAATTTAACGATATTCACAGCAATTTTACCTGCTGATGCAAAAATCCCATGAATGATCAAATTGTTTCGTTTATTATATTGTTCGAATGCATTGCATTTCATTTTCCAACGATCGATATACGATCGATAATTTCAAATTGAGATCAAAGAATCTTCAAAGGCCGTGGGTGTGGGGGTGGGTGGATGGAAGTGTGTGAAGTTTGGGCATGAACCGAACAAACTATTTGAGTTGTGTAAAATATTGAAAAAGTTCTAAGATGATACTCTATATTTTTAATGATTGATGTTAATTACACATTATTAGTCAGAGTAATATGTGATGATATTAAATTATTCCTTTTGTTTCTCAGTACGATATTCGTTCTTCTTAATATTCAGTAATATGACTCATTTAAATGCAAAGAAATATCGGTTAGTGAGAAAAATACAACTAACGTCCGTTTATCAGGAACAAAATAAGAAAAATATTTTTATTAATTTTTTAATAAGAAGATTTGTTTAGTCCTAAACTATCTGTCTCATTCAGGCAAAAGTTGCGGCAATAACTAATAAACAAGAGATGGGTCAAGTTTTATCCACAATTGACTCACACTGTATTAATTTACTGGCATCAACACAATCCAATTACGCCTATTCAGAGCTATTAGTTACACCAGAGTCAGATATTGATTTATTTCTACCATTGAAAACAACTGGAAATAAAGATAAAAATACGGATGGAAAAGAGTCTAATGAAGCAATAATCACTAAACAGACATTAATTAGACGAGTACGACAAAATTTATTTACATTAACTAATCTACATGAATTCAATACATTAAATGATCAAATCACAACTGGTATTCAAAAAATTATTGATAGAATTAATAATACGAATAAAATTACCAATATAACTATTGCAAACATTCTAGAAAAACAGGAACAATGTCAATTGGCATATGTTCTAAAACAAACAAATGATAAATCTGAAAAAGATCTTGAAAATAGTTCAATATTTACACATCCATTTGTAGATAATACAATATATAAAGGTACAGAAACAGAAATTGAATTAGCTAAAGAAGATACATTTCAACGTTTTCAAAGTCAACAATTATCGTTTTTTGCTCTACAATCATTGTTATCCATACTACTTGTATTAATTAAAACTGTACAAATAACAGATTCTACTATTATTTATCAAATATTAACAATGGCAAAACAATTTATAGTACAAATACCTGTTAAATATTTATCATCAAATGCTTTTAAACAATCCAGTCTATTTACATCATTAAAACCACTCTCTAATTATATACAAGAATTGTCTATACAAACAATAGATTTAATTGCAAAAAAACAAGCTATTGAAATATTATTAAGTTTTGCTGTAGCCAAAGCATCATTTACCGATTTATTATATTTAATTGTAAGATTAATATTTAATACAGATAATATAAATATTTATGATGTTCGTGGTTTAATTTTACAATTAAATAATGGTTTAGTATCTATTATAGATGAAGTTAATTTAAAAAAACAATTAGCAACAAAAATTGACATAGAAAAAAGATTAGCAGTAGAAGAACGAACAATAGATACAAAAATAGAAACTACTAATGAAAATCATGATGAAGAATTGGGTATATGTGATATGTTTGAACAAGCAGAAGATGATTTTAAATGGAAAACAAAATCTCGAAATATTTCAAGTGAAATACAAAAATATAAAGAAGCACAAATAAAACTATTACAAACAAATAAAACATTATCAGATATGACTAATTTTTTAGATAATCCATTAGATTATTTACAACTAATAAATGTATTACCAAATTCAAATTTAATGACATTAGATGAGAGTAAATTCACTCCCACATTTTTAGCATCCATATTGTTAGCACATATCGATTTACATAATCAAATTAATTCAAAATGTGCATTTGACATAAATTCTTTAAATACTTCATTTTCTTTTTCATTACATTCAGATACATTTAAACAATTATTTGATGTTATACAAAAACTAAGTATTACACAACTATCCGATCATACAGCGTACATATTAGTTGCTTGTTTACGATTATTTACCACACATTTAAAATTTTTAATTAAATCAGGTTTGAATACAACGGAATTGGTTTCCAATACAGAATTTGTTCAATGGAAAGAACTTATGTTTCAATTGGCTACAGACATTGAAATTAAAACAATTGATAATAATCAATCATTACATGAAAACATTCGCATAACTCTATGTACAGAAGCTTCTAAAGCATTTATTTATTTATTAGAAAAAGTACCATCATTGATTGATAAACTTCAATTTATTCACAAATGTATTCTTGATAATAAATATCCCGTTTTAATTCAACAATTATTAATTGATCTACATGATAGTATAACGTTAAAAAAGTGGATCGAATTATTAACGGATGGTAAACTAAAACAAGATATGAATCATGATGAAAATAATGATAAATCAACGTTTATACAAATTCAAGAAACAACATTAACATTATTATATTCATATATGGATATTTGTTTAGAGTCAAACTATATTCAACAACAAAAACAGATTAAAGATGATAAAATAGTAACATTGGACCATGTGTTTCTATTATTTCAAGAATTATTATTAATTACATTAGATAATGAACTATCTACTGTATCGAATGATATTGATGATTTATGTGATAGTTATACACTTCCTGTTACCTCACTAGCTATAGTTTACATTAAACGAGTATTAACTGCTAGTACAAACACATCAATTGTTAGTAATTTATTACAACCTATGTTATCTGGCTTATGTATCCTAACACAGCCAAAATTCAATTTTAAATCGACTCAAGTCATATTTACAGCAATTTCACCATTACTTGCAGAATATTTAATACATAGTACGACTACCGATACGAATACATATCTAACCGCTTGGTTACTAGGTAAAATAAGCAATATTATGTTAAATAGTATAAAACTTCATTCGTTAGAAAAAAAACATGTCAATACATTAAATATGCCTTTATTTGGTGGTGGATATGAGATGACATCAGAAGATAATCAATATATAATTCAATTATTACAATCAAATTTAGCTCAATATTTACAATTTGAATTGCCTAGAATAAAAGCTATAAATAAAATTGATCATGAATTTTTAATGTCAATTTATAATAATGTTAATGATGGTGCACAATTATTATTAAAATTAAAAATGTTTGCTAAAGATAAACAACGATTACAAAAATCAATTGAAATACAAGCAAATGAAGCAACTGCCGCATTATTTGCTGTTTATGTTAAACATTATCGACGTATAAAACTTGCAAAAATCGAATGTCAAACAGATAAAAATATTAAACCAAATAGTAAACTTATTTCACTTTATCACTATGCAGCATATATTCAAACATTATTTGCTACAACAAAAGCTCAAGGTGGTGATTGTAATGAATTATATACACAAATTAAAAATAATACATTATTTTTATTATCATCAATTAAGGAAAATAATTTTATAGCATTTGTAAATGATACTAGTTCAATAACAAATATAACAAATAAAAGAAAATCATCTGTAGAAACTCCTTTTTTAGAAGTATCTCCAAAAAATATGTTTCAAAGACAAATTTCTAGATGGACAAAAGCTAAATATATACTTCGACTACTTCGTAATACAATGACAGCTATTATACGATTAAAAAAAATGATGTTATTACGTAAACAAGAAGCAGAACAAAAACAAGATAATGAAAGTATATTACATAGAAATATAAAAACATTTGTAATTGAACATAAAAATACAGTTCAAACAGAAGAAATAATAATATGTATGAAAAAACAACATGAACGTATAATTACAAGATTATTAACATATAAATTTATTCAAATATTTATTAAAAAATTATTTAATATTGAAAATAATCGAATTTATATGATTTTATCAATTTATTTACCACATTTAAATAATATACATACTGATTGGCATTATCTACAAAATATTGAAAATTCAAATGTATTATTAAAAGAACAAATTGAATTTATATATTATTCAATTATTCAAAATATAATAAAATTTATATTATCATTATCATCAGAATCAACAATTTCTAGTACATTAATATTACATTCATTTAGTTTACTTAATTTATCTTATAAATCTACGGATTTAATACAAATTTATAATTCTCGATTAATTAAAGATTTATTTATGCATGTTAGTACCATTAAAACAAATGATGCTCCATGGAATATTAGATTTACTGCATTCAATTGGTTTAGAATGGTCATCTTACAACTATCTGATATTATGGAAATTGAAGAAAAAAATAATGGTAAAGTTAATCCTGTTTTACAACAATTACATGAAAATATTTTTCATAAATTAATATTATCAGAATTACAAGGATTAAGACAGTTAAAAAAAACGGCATCAAATACAAATTTAAATAATATTGAAAATGAAAATATTCATTTAAATGATGCTGAGATAGGTTGGTTTATTGCTAAAAAATCGACTACTACTCAAGATATAGTAATGACAAATCAAACACAGGTTGAAATTGAAATTTATACAAATCAATTATTAGTACTATTACTTAGATGTGTACATTTATATACACATGTACGTTATAGTTGTTCAACATCAATTTATATTCAAGAATTACTTTATATTTATAGTACAAGTATGAATAGTATTAGTACGACTCTGGCATTGAAACTATTGCGTGATTTATTAAATTTATTACTACAAAATAATCACATAATGTTTACATTAAAATCACATGAAACAGTAAACCGAAAACAATTATTAGAAACATTTTTATTTACTATTGGTAATAGTTGTTTACAAATATCTGATAGTACTATTAGAAGTAATTCGGCTACAGTTACTGAATTAATATATATTTATAGAACATTAATATCTGTACGTTCATCTTGGCAAACACTAGCAATACAAATAATTGTGGATGCCATTAAATTAAGTTCATCATTAATTAAATCCATCGAAACAATAGAATCTAGTACATTAAATCATTTTTTAGCATCATTATGTGTACTAGGTGGATATATTCAACCTTATTATGAAGGTTGTATAGTATACGTATATGAAGATTTGAATATAGATGAATATGATTCTGCAGTTATTGTCAATATTGATAATAATATTCGAGACTCCGATTTAGCTGATGGATTGCCATACTGTATACAATATGCAACATCAAACGAAATTAAATGGATTTCTGCCGATAAATTACGTATAGAAACATGTATTCCGGTGCCGAATTTATTACCTGTATCAGCAATTTTAATATCGAATGATACTATTCCATCTGAAGTAGATACATTTAAAACAACAGAAACAAATGCTTATGTATTAATAGATACATTAGGATTACTCATACAAAATGATATAATTACAACTGATAATTTAACATTATTACAAATTAGACGTCGTTGTATTGCAGCTTTATCACATATATTAAATGACAAAAAACTCATAGAAGTATTTATGACTAAACCATATGCATCTGTCATCGCACAATTAGCATTATCAGGTAGTATCAATAGCGGTACTTACAATACTATGCCTGTAGATTTACGTTTGATGAACAAAACACATTTGGAACAGTATAGTTTGAGTCTGGATACGTGTGTAAGAATGAAACAAATACTAGACGATGATGAGAAATCAGTCGAAACAGATACTGATAAAAACATTAATGCTCCTACTACAGTATCTTTGGATAATTTATCGAATACATTAGAACACCCCAATACTAATTTTCGAATTTGGAATCAAAAGTTAGATGGTGTTATTTACGACCCACTGATATATAAAGCTGTATCGACAATTTTAGATGAAAACCCAGATTGGAATGCATATGCAACAGAAATACAAGTGCAAAGATTCAAACATGGTCGAAGTGGAAATGATGAAGTCAGAATTATACAATTTTCGCCCGATCAACATGGAAAAATAGAAGAATGCGGTGATAAACATAAATTTAATGGTAAAGTTACTTGTGTAAATAACATGTCTTGTTTTCCTACGTTTCGTACTGATAATATCCGACTAACTAAAGGTAAATGGTATTATTGTATTAAATTGGCCTGTGATAGTATTATTCAAGTAGGATGGGGAACCGAAAAGTTTGTTCCAAATATAGAGCAAAACTTAGGCGTTGGTGATAATGATTATTCATGGTCTTATGATGGTTCACGTGGAACTCTATATCATAATGCTACAGATTATTTTGCCAGTTCGGTTAGATGGACATATGATGATGTTTGCGGCTGTGGAATTGAGATTGATGGAGAAAATACAGTAATTAAATATTGGTTAAATGGTGAATTATTAGGCACTGCGTTTACTCATAAAACAAATCCCGATTGTGAATGTCAATGTAATCTTTTACCCGATGGAGAACATACAATATATTATCCTGCAGCAAGTCTTTCTCAAGGAAGTTGCTGTGAATTTATATTTAGTCCTGAAGATATGGAGAAATGTCCGTTACCAAAGGGCTACAAGCCATTATTACTACCAAAGATAATTCATACAGAAAATACATTAGTTGCCTACCCATATAGTGCATATCTAGTTGGTGATAAACCTAAAGATTATTTTCATATCAATCGTGAACAATCTGAAGTAACACATCAATTTCTACGTGATTTTGTGAATAAAGAACATATTCAAACCACATCAAAATTAGAAGATGTTAATAAAGAAAACTATCAACAGTTAAAAGTACCGAACATGGGTATTCCTTTTTCCATCGACACCTATGTTAATAACGAAACACTAACTGCACTTACAATTAGTTTTGATTTTGAATATACAGTTATACCTGAAGTAAATGTTGATGAATTTATTGTTAAACTGTTAACATTAGATACAGAATTATTTACAATACCCATACAATTAAATAAATCGACAGAAGCAAATGAATTAAAATTTCAAAATAAAAATATTTATCATATTGCTATAATATTTCAGTTACAAAAGCCAGTAATAATCTATATAAATAATAAATGTAGTACATTTGATTGTAATACATTCAATATGAACAAAAAGAATTTAAACTTCTGTATATTACCTGAATTTTCAGGTGAAATTAAAAATATTGGTATCTGGAGATATCCATTATCTGAGCAACATATTCAACGATTATTTACTTACAGTTTATCATATATTGCTGTTGATTATCGAAAATTACAGCAACATCGAAAACAAAATAATACATTAACGTTTAATCAACCACAATTTCCACGTGAATTACTATTGTGTACGGAACCATTTGATTCTAAATTGTGGGATAAAAAAAAGAAAACTATTGACCCAGATGAATTTAAATATTTTCGAATGTTATCTACAGATACTGTTATAAATACAGAATATGCTATACAGTTATTTGGAAATAACAGTTATTTAGTATTAGATAAATCATCGATTAATGACCCATTGGATGTAAATGAAAAAAGTGAAACAAAATCTGAAGACAAATCATTAAATGTATGGACAGAATATAAAATTATTTTAGATATTAAAATACCATGTTTAGCTGTAGAAACAAAAACTACACTAGATGCTGCTGATGAAAAGGCCGGAGCTGTAAACGAAACAACGGGAATAAGAAAAGAGTCGATTATTACAACTGATTTAAACGAAAGTTTCCATACGGCTTACTCGGGTGAATTTGAGACAATTTTAAATACGTTAACATTACTACGAATATCAGAATCACGGGAACTCTGTATTACAAATGAAGGTCGACTCTGTGTATCTGATGCCAAGAGTGTAACAACATTAAAATCACATGAATATTCACGTCTAGTTATTTGTAAAAAACATGATAACATGAAAGTTTATGTAAATGGAAAATTAGAATTAAATGTGTCTGTTGATGAACAAGCATACGCATTAAATGAAGATTATATTTATTTATTCAAAGAGCTTGATAATTCAAATGTTCTTAGTTCAGATATAGTTCGAATTGAATGTAAATCAATAACATTCAAGAATAAATGTATTGATCAGTTATCATCTGTTTTAGAATCACCCACACACTCATTAGAAAAATTTGTTGCCTTACCATTCGCAACATTATCAAACAGTCTAATGTCAATTGGTTATAAAAAACAATGGATAAAAACAATCATAAAACAATACAATGTATATAATATTCAAACAATTGATACATTGATACGTCAAAATATGCAACACCTATTGGATGTAGATCTAGTAAAAGAACGTGAATCGAAAGTGGATTTATTATGTAGATTAAATTCACATATTGATAGAGAAAAATTAAAGAAATTTACAAAACCATTGAAACTTGATACAGATGCTGATGTGGTTACAGCATGTGAACAAATTTTAGAACATTGGAATGAATTACAAACTGAGAATACATCGATAATAAATGATGTTAATAATTCTATGAATAAATCAGATGTAGATTCAAATGTGTTGATCAATAATGACGATGATAATGATGATATAGATCAATCAGATACAGTCGAAGTACTTCGACCTAAATGGTATTCAAAATGTGTTGATAAACTAAATATACAAGATAGTATATTTAGATGGATGCAAGATAAAACGACGCAAACCACAGATTCAAAGAATACAACAGATAAAAATTCACAACTACTAGATTTAACTAAACCGGAAGAAAATGAACTTACAAATGAGATTGATGTACATATTCAACGTAAAAATGTATACAAATCAATTCAATATTCACATAGACAAATAACATATAAACAATATGTTGAATCACGTATAGCATGTGAAATAGGATTAACATCAGTCTATGCACGATATACAATATTAAATATGTTAAAAATTTGGACTAATAGTAATGATAAAAAAAATAATTTATTTCCATTACAAGGATTTGGTGATTGGCATTTTATTACAAAATTATTAAGATTTATGGATTATCATTATGTTCATACAAGTATTAGTTCTGATGAAACAATAGATAGAATGAAAATTTTAGCTAATTCAATTGTTCAAGTTGAAACAAATGAATTATTAAAACAAACAAAAAAAATTACACGTGAATTATTTTATACAACAGCACCATTATTATATCATTTACAAATAGATATTATTACACAATGTATTCGATTTATATCACAGCCATCATTTTTACAAACTAATGATGAAACTTTAAATGAACAAACTATAATTACACAACCTAATTTAAATTTTGTTTTAAGAATATTAAAATTATTTCTTGAATTAATTAGTAATTCAGAAAGACAATATATACAAATTTTAGTTGAAATTCTCTTTCCTAACTCATTAATTGATATATTATTTGATTTATTCTTATTAGTACCTAAAGCACAATCAAAAGTATTTATTCTACATATATTTGTTAAGTTAATGCAAATTTCAGATAATTTTAATTTAAATGCAGATGCTCAACAGTTTTTACTCCAATTTCTTGGATTTATAACAACAAAGGGTTTAGATTATGGTTTATCTAGTAATTTACGATTTGCTGTAATGGATTTATGTTTTGTAATACGAGAAAGAGAAAAACAAAAACAAAAATCTAAAATAGAACAACAAGATGAATCAAATAAAATAACAACTGAACAATTAGAAATTGAAAAATATTCAAACTATGGTGAATCTTTACGTAATCTATTTACGGTAATGGATGTAATAAAAGCATTAACAGATCAAACAAAACAAATAATATTTCCTCAAGAATTTATTACACAATCAATTTCTTGTGGTTTAGAATTGACAAAAAAAGAAATTGAAAATTCAAATATATTTTTTAATAAAGAAGTTGATATACAATTGATTGATTTTATGAATAAAAATATAGGTGATAATTCTGAATCATTATCCGATTCATTGATTGTTAATTTTATTACCGGATTATCGAATGATTTTATAACTGATACAAAATATAGTACATACACATTATTACACAATATACCTGTAGTTCATTTAAAAATGCGTATTAAACTATTATATCTATCGAATATATTTATCAAAAATGTTTTAAATGATGTAGATTTTAGTTTATCAACTGGTATGAGTATGCTTGTTGATGCTATTCGTTCAACAAAAGCATACATATTATACAGTATAAAAATTAAATTAATTAATATGATATTAGATAGAACAGGCAATGCAGAGACTGTGGGAGATATTGAACTTGATACAGTAAAAGCAAGTAACATTTCTACATATAAAGATACAATATTTTATCAAGCTTATAAACAATTGCATAAAAATGCCTATCGTACATTTCGAAAAGCAGAATATTATCAAACATGGAGAGTATTATATGTTGGAATGCATAGTACTGATTCTGGTGGTCCATACAGAGATTCTATTACTTCAATGTGTGGAGATATATGTAGTACTAGATTACCATTATTTATTCTATGTCCAAATGGACGAACAAATAGTGGATTAAATCGAGATCGATGGATTCCAAGTGTATTTTCACCACAAACAAGAATTCCAAATAATATAAAAAATTTCTATATATTTATTGGTCAACTTATGGGTATGGCTATGAGAACAAAAAATTTATTAAATTTACAATTTCCATCATTATTATGGAAACCATTAGTACATGAATCAGTTACTATTGAAGATATTGAAGCTATTGATATGCAAAGTTTTACATTTATAAATGAAATGGAAAAAGATGTGAAACAAACTAAAACTATGAATACTGATGTTGATATGAATAACGAAGAAAAATGTAAAGATAATATTGATTTTTTATTTGATAGTATTATGAGTGAATTAAACTTTGATATTGTTGGTTCAGATATGCAAACATACGAATTAGTATCCGATGGCTCAAACATTCCAATAACTACAGCTAATTATAAAGAATATTGTTTGAAATATCGTGAATATCGTTTACAAGAGTTTAGTAGACAAGTGAATTATATTCGACAAGGTTTATATAGCGTTGTCCCTTGGCCAATGCTAACATTATTAACTGCATCTGAATTAGAAGAGCTTATTTGCGGTAAACCAGTAATTGATGTTGAATTATTAAAGCAACAAACAGAATACAAACATCCAGCTGATCGTCATACTACACCGTATATAAAACGATTTTGGACTGTATTAGCAGATAAATTTAATGAAGAGCAAAAGAAATTATTTTTAATTTTTGTTTGGGGCAGAAGTACATTACCTACTCGACCAGAAGATTTCCAATGTAAATTTTCTATTCAGAAGTTAGAATCATCTGGTGATGTGGATAAAACATTACCAAGTACGTATGATATAAACGCAATTAGGGGATTGCTGGAACTTGTCGAGGAAAATAAAGTTCTTCTTTCTCTTCAATGCTTAAATGTTTTCTGTAAGTTGTGGTAAGAATCTCGAACCAGATTTAGAGTAACTTTCGACTAGTGTGCTTATTCAAAAACAAGTAATAGTAGAATAACTATTATCATCTCAAAATAGCATGAGGTTGGATATTTTTGGATAGTTCGAACAGGAGAAGAGATAACGGCCCATGTTTTGCGTTGTTTCATAGTGAAGACCAATTTCAAATGCAGAATCAGACTGATGAGTTAAAATAGAAAACGAAAGTGTTTTTAAAAAACAAACGTAGCCAAACAACTCAGAAAGGTCGAATCCTATGTTTCCAATTAGTTTTAAATCTCCAAAGCGAAAAAGCACAATGTCTGAATACCTTAGGAAAAAGTGCAACACAGATGAGCAATAATGGAAAAAAATCTGAAACTTGCGTAGCTTTATAAAAGAAGAGGTTCGTAATGTACATTCAATTATTATAATTAAAACTTCGTCATTTCTTTGCTCACTAGCAATCCACTATTCGATGTCGAGACTATACTCTATGCTATCTTTTTCAGAAGAAAATCCTACAGTTAGTCGTTAGCTACAAAATGACACAAACGAAGATCAGTATTTTTTTCCAATATTTAGTGTCATTCTATTTTGAAATGACTAGTAATTTTTTTAACGTTTTCATGCCGTTAGTGAGTATGCACTCCTGGCGGTTAAGACGAGACGCAGTTAACTCCAACTGCAAAAGTGTAAAATTGGCACAGGCTAGAACACAGCGTGCATATCTAGCATCCGATAGATTGACTGTTGATGTGTTTCTGGAAGATAAGGTAGAAGATTAAATCGAAAATAAACATCCTTTTGTCTTAGAAGTAGGACTCATTCGTCAGAACTCCCATGTCCTGCAGAAAGTTTATATCTACACAAGATCTGTCAAGTTTCTTGATCTCGAAGAATGTTCAACAATTCTTGGCAAGATCTTGTCAAGTTTTTTTTGAGGAATCTGCCTGTAAAAACCTTGATCAAAATCTTGACAAGAGTTGAAAACTTGTGTAATTAACAAAATCTTTGCTAACACAGAAAGTTAGCAATCATTTTGATTACGGGATGACTCAGAGGTTCTACAACAATGTAAATATGCCAAATTTGCATTTATTTATAGTTATTGTAGTACTACAATATAAAGGACTTCTGCTAAATTCTGTTGGTCGATAGGGTAGACAAATAAATGTGTTATTCTTTCAATCATCATTTTGTTTGATATTGTTCTTGCATATGTAAGAATAAATACTTCCACTACAGAACATTGAAAGTTTAGAAAGTGAAATTCAAACATTGTGTTTGGATGTATGGTTGCTCGTGTACTTTCAACAGCTCTGGTATTGTATGCATAGTACCGTAGAGCTTACATTGTAGTGATATAGTAAGTTTAAGGTTTTCTTTCAAATTTTTTTTATTAATGAAGATTCTGATTATTGCGTATTGATCACAACAGACTCTGATACAAAACTTGTGAAAAATCTGCAGCATTGCTTTCCATTCAGAATCTTGACAGATTTTGATAAATCTGCACAAATTCTTGAAAGATCTGGGGCGAAACTTGTGAAATCTTTGAAGATTTATCAAGATCTGCATTCAAGGTTTTTCTCCTGCGACTGTAGCTACAGTAAAATTATGTTTTCTTATTGCACACAGTGCAAGATTTTTCAGTTAAATTCTACGTGGAATTAAGATAAAATGTAGCAGTACATAGCTTAATGTTAATAATTTGTGATTTTCATATGGACTCTCTGAATGGATCCTACTAAAAGTGTACGTTCATATATTATCTTGACTGCAAACTTGATACTCTCGATGTTTGCCAAATGTGAAGATTATGCTAGAATAATTTTTGCATATTGTTACGTTGTCAAATAAAATAAGGTTTTGTCAATAAAAAGTGTTGATATATTTGAAGGAAAACTAAAATTCAAAGATATAACAAGTTAAATGTAAGTTTTTTCCGCCTGCAGATTCAAAAATATCAGTGATATTGATTTCATGAATAATTTTTTCATGGAGAGGTGAAGAGATAAAGAACGATTTTTATACCAGAACAGTATAACTATGGAACAGAACTTCACAGTCCGGTTTGATCACGTAACTCTGCTACCACAGTGTAATTCCGTCAGGATTTTTTTGCATTTTGTTTCTCCTTTGATTCTCGAATGAGGGCACGTTCAGAGCTCTGCAGCGTCTCATATCAAAGAGAAAAGTATGCTGAATATTGTGAAACTTTGGCATATTTTACAGAGCCGTTTTAAGAAATTTGTGGCCCCTGTGCTGATCATTTACGTTTTCAACACATCAATCTGTATTTTTTTTAATAATAACAAAATGCAAGGCTTAAACCGTTCGATTAGGCCCCTGTGCTATAGCACAATTAGCACATAGGATAAGAAGGCACTGATATTTTACACGTTCTTTCGTTTAAGAATTATAGCAAAAATACAAACAGCTACATTTCAAAACTTCTCTAAAAAAGTAGCAGTTTGCATTTTTGCTATAATTCTTAAACGAAAGAACGTGTAAAATATGCCAAAGTTTCACAATATTCAACACACTTTTCTCTTTGGTCTTTTTTGGGTTGGGTTATGTGGACAAGTCCTTCAATTATTTGACTGACAGAAATTTGAGTTCTAATTGTAACTAGGGCTGCTACATTACTATTACTTTTTATTACTATTACTCGGTAATAAGTAATAATTATTATTACTTTTATTACTTATTACTTTTCATCACTAATTGCTTTATTATTTATCATTTTAATACTATTCGGTCTTTAAGTGCTTGGTACTAGTAGTAAGGGATAAAGTTGAAACTTTTATTTTATTACTTATTACTTTTATCATTTTCAGATTTATTACTTATTACTAGTAGTAATAAGGAGTAATGTTATTACTTATTACTTAGTAATAAGTAATAAAAGCTTCAAGTAATAAAAGTAATAAGTAATAAAGTAATAAGTAATAACGAGTAATAAGTTGTTACAGTAATAAAGTAATAACAAAACGATAAATGCGGTATGAATTAGATAAGTGGAAGAACTAAGTTATTGTCACAAAGATATCAGTTATTGGTCA